TGTGTGTGTGTGTGTGTGTGTGTGTGTGTGTGTGTGTGTGTGTGTGTCTATGTATCTGTGTGTGTACACGTGCATGCTCTGCTCCCTGCAGCCAAACAGCAGGACGGGGCAGCCGCCATGGAGATGCAGCCCCTCAAGAGTGCCGAGGGCGGCGACGCCGACGACAGGAAGAAGGCCAGCATGCACAAGAAGGAGAAGTCCGTGCTGCAGGGCAAGCTCACCAAGCTGGCTGTGCAAATCGGGAAGGCAGGTGAGTGCAGTGTGTGGGAGGCGGGGCACAGGGCTCACAGGAGGACCCCAGGCAGAGCCCTGCCCCAAGCTGGGCCTGTCACCTCATCTGCAAAGTGGGGGGCTTGAATGAGTGCCTGAAGCCCACCCGGAAGTCCACAGTGAGTCCTGTGTACAGTGGGCCCTCTATTAGCACTCAGTGACATATAAGAGTGACGCTCAAAGCCAGAGCTCTGGTGGCAGATGGCCTGCATTCTTGTCCGGCAATGGCTGTGAAAACTTGGGAAAGTAACTTCTACTAGCTCCATATCCTCACCTGTAAAATGAGGACAATAGTTGTCCCCACTTCACAGATGGCTGTGGGAGTTAAAGGAGGCTCTGCATACAAAGCATTAGCACTTGGCAGGTGCACTGGCTGGAGAGGGGGCAAGGCCTGGAGTTCTAAGCAGCACAGACTTTATCCTGAGGACAGTAGGAGCCATGGAAGAGACTTGAGCAGAGGCAGGCAGGAGTGGGTTTGGGCTTTATCATGACCACCCTGGTCACAGTGCAGAGGAAAAACGGAAGAGGTTGAGGAACAGTGCCAGGAGCCCAGGGAGAAGCCCATGGTCTGAGCCCCAGCACAACAAACGGGGCATCCCAACTAAAGTGGTAACGGCCAGTGATGGCTGGTGACGGCCCCTCTGGCCCAGCTGCAAAGTGAGCCCCTGACACTCTGGCACGGCCTAGGCTTCCCTCCCAGGTAAGGAGGTAGTAAACGCCAAGGCCTTCCCACCTGGCTGCTCGATCCCTTGTGGCTGTCTCCCTAGCTCTAATTATAGACACCATGGCGTGGGGAAGGGAAGCAGATTACAGGCTTGGCTGTCTATATTTAAACTGGGGGACTGGTGACAGCTCCCGGCTGCTGGGAGCTTGGCTTCCCGCCCCTGCCACTGTCAGACAGGGTTGGAGCCGGCTCTGAGGCACCACACCTGGAGGTGGGGGTGGAGAGCTATGGGCCCAGGGATTTCCTCTATCCTCCATCCCACCATCGCCACCATCACAGGCAGAATATTCCATGGAAACATGGCACTGACAGGGCAGGGAACTAAGCGATGAGAACAACCCCATGGCCTTCAAAGTCCTCACTCCCCTCCCTCCTTCTTGCACCTCGGCCCTGCCAAGAATGGAGTTCACAGTGAAGCACTCCTGGGTTCACATCCCATCTCTGCCTCTCTCTTGGGCTGAATTCCTTGAGATGGGTAGGCAGGGGATCTATTGATGGGGTGCTCTCCAGTGAGACCTACAGGAGGGACAGGTCCAGGCCAGGGGAGAAGCCAGAGACAGCTGAAATTTCCAGAGAACTCCTGGCCTCTCCCGATCCCATGGGAGCTCTGGAGCAGCCCAAATCCATCCCTGCCCTACTCTGCTCAAACCTCCTCCATGGCTCACACTGTCCTCAGGATAAAATCTATGCCACCCAGAACTCTAGGGTCTGTCCTACGTCGAAGCAGATGGTTGGGCTTTGGGACCCCCGTGTCAGCCACTGGATGGTGGCCATCAGGTTGAGATGGGAGTGCATTCCCAGGCACTTCCCGACAAGGGGACTCCAGTCACCTTAGCAGGCTCCTCCTCTGTCAGAGGCTGCAGGTGTGAGCAGTCTCCGCAGCACATGCAGTAGCACCTGTAGCAGATAGGGGATGGGCATGAGTGATGGTGTTAGTGGTCGCCGTGCCCATGCCTGAGGGGTCGCCATACCCCAGGGGATCAGGACAGGTCCTCAGCTGCGTTCCTACGGTTACAGCATCCCTCTCACCTGTGACTGCAAGTCACCTCCCCTCTCTGAGCCTCAGTTTCCCCATTCAAAAAAGCCACCTGCTGTTTCCTCTACCTAGAATGTTCTTCCCCTAGGCCACCATGCAACAGTGTCTGTTCAAATGTCACCTCCTCCAAGAAGCCTTCCCTGGCCACCCTAGCTAAAGTAACCACTCCCTACCCCCCACCATGTCGCTTTCTATCACATCATCCTGGCCTTTTTCTTCATAGTGTGTAGCCATATCTGAAATTGTCATGTTCAGGTATTTGTTTATTTTGTTTGTTTTTGTCTTCCTCCTCCTCTAGATTGTCGGCTCCTCAAGGGCTAGAACTCTTGTCTTCTTTGCTGCTAGGTCCCTAGTTCCGAAACTAGGAACTAAGATGTGCCTGGCATGTCATAGGTGCTCAAAAGGTATTTGTTGAGTAAATAAATAAATAAATGACACCAACTTCACATCATTATTGTGTGAAAGCTCTATGCAAACCATTCCTCATTTATTCACACAGTCACTCGGCACACATCTCTTGAGCACCTACTATGTGTCGCGCACTGTGCTGGGCACTTTGCATGCATTATCACATTTGAGCCTCACAAAATCCCAGAGAGGAAATACGCATCCACATTGTACACAGCAGGAGACTGAGGCTTAGTGAGGATCAAGGTCTCAAGAACTTGCCACAGGTCACAAAGCAAGGAGTGCCAGAGCTGGGAGGTGAGCTGGGGTCAACCTGACCTTTCAGCCAAAGGTTTAGTCCATACCACGCATGGCCCCCACTTCCGGGAACCCCCCGAGCATGTGTCCCTCACATTGCAGGCTTGGTGATGTCGGCCATCACAGTGATCATCCTGGTGCTCTACTTCACTGTGGACACCTTCGTGGTCAACAAGAAGCCATGGCTGCCTGAGTGCACACCCGTCTACGTGCAGTACTTTGTCAAGTTCTTCATCATTGGCGTGACAGTGCTGGTGGTCGCCGTGCCCGAGGGGCTCCCTCTGGCCGTCACCATCTCGCTGGCCTATTCAGTGAAGGTGAGAGGGAAGGAGAGCAGGATCAGCCAGCTGATGCGGCTGCAGCTGGGGGCCTGGGGGGCCTGTTGGGGCCAGTGCTGGGGTTGGGAGTTGAACGAAGAAACCCACAGACCCACTGGGAGCTCAGAAAAAGAATGTATGCAGGACCCCAAAACTCTGACGCTTTTGTAGAGTCCAGGGGCCTGTGGCAAACCAGAGAGCCATACCCTGGCTGAAGAGGCAGCCATTATTCAGCCGGGCCACACCCCACCTGGCAAGGGTGCAGGCCCAGCACTGCCACATTGTCACCTTTTTCCAAGAGAAGCCAGAAATCTGGACGTTGTGTAAACTGTCACGATTTTTATACATCGATAATCAAAGCAAATTTTTTTAAAAGTAATAAAGACATCACCATGCAAGCCAAAACTCATCCTTACTCTGCCAAATTTATGCAGAAGTCTGGCGGCCTCAGTCTTAGACCCATCAGGTAACCGTAGTGTTTGTAAAACTAATCTCAGAGGTGGCTCCCTAAAGTGGGAGGGGTAAGACGAACGCAAAAAGGAAGTCTGATTTCTTGGAAGTCTCTTCCCCTCGGGAAAGAGGCTAAAAGTATAAGAAATTTTAAAGCAGCTAAATGAAGACCTGGGGCCATGAATGTTTTCTGGGGAAGCTTGGTCTGGGACCTTTCTAAGCGCCCCCCTGATGGCAGAGCCACACCTCTACCTGTTCCCAGGCCATGGCTGTCTGCAGAGCCCAGTCACTGCGAGTCTGACCCTACTTGGGTCACCCCCAGGTTCTCACACCCAGGTCTCATATTCCTCCCTTTTCCCCATGTTTTCTCCACCTAGAAGGGCCAAGCGTAGGGCTCCTGTTTCCCAGCACCCCATGCCGGAATGTCCCTGCAAGGGTGGAGGCGTGGCCATGTTTATAAACAAGGTATTCACTCTGAGAAATTGGCAAAGCCTCGGGAGGGCATGGTGAGCGTCAGTTTCCAAGCTGGAATTTGGGCTGGGCTCTCCGATGTAATTTCATACAGAAAAGAGATCTCCAGACAGGTGCCAGAAAGTGGCAGTTCTGTGTAACGAATACGGCCCTTATCTTCTTCCTGTTTTAGGGTTCTTGAAGAAACTCCATCCCCACAAACCAAAGCCCAAACAGGTCACAACAAGAGGCTACTTTGGGACCCGGGGCCAGCAGAGGGTGACTGTTATACACCCATGAGTAGGGGGCCTGGTCCACAGTCACTTCACTGAGCCTGGGGATGTCCTTGAAAGTTGCATAGAGCTGGTTTGGGAGAATCATAAACAGATGCTTTTAGGCCTCTGTGCCTTCTGCAGTTCATATCTCTGGCACCCAGTACCTTCGCTCATCTTACATAGTGTTACTTGTATAGTCACTTGATAGACTTAGGAGAGCACCCCAACACAGGAGAGGCAGACTGTGCCCTCTCTGAGCCTGGACCTGGGAGCCACCATCAAGAGCACAGAGATGACTCACCACTTAGATCAACACTGCCCAAAAAGAGACAGAATGCGAGCCACATGTGCAATTTTAAGTTTCCTAGTAGCAGCCAGGTGTGGTGACTCATGCCTGTAATCCCCAGCACTTTCAGAGGCCAAGGCAGGAGGATCACTTGAGCCCAGAAGTTCAAGATCAGCTTGGCAACATAATAAGACCTCATCTCTATACAATAAAATAATTTTTTAAAAAAGAAGAAAAAATTCCTGGTAGCTACATTTTTTTAAAAAAGTAAAAAGAAACCAGTGAAGTTAATTTTAATAATATAATTTACTTTACCCAATATGTCAAAATTATCAATCCAATATGTGATCAATATAAAAATTATTAAAGAACTACTTTTACATTTCTTTTTTCATAATATCTTCTAAATCTGATGTGTATTTTACTCTTACAGCACATTTCACTTCAGACTAGCAATAGTTCAAGTTCTCAGTAGCCTATACACGTAGTCACAATACATACGACCACCATATTAGACAGTACAGACTTAGAGATTCTTGAGCCCAACAGACAAACCCTCTTCAGAGAGTGCAGGTGGACTGAGGCCTGACTGAAAGGCCCAGGCTGTGAGGTTAAACGGAGGTAGGTTCAAATCCCAGCTTTAAATCCCTCCAGATGCGTGATCCTGGTTAGGTCAATTTGCCTAGATTTCTTCAGTTGCCAAAATGGATTACCAGAATCTTCTCACGTCCCACAGAATTCTTAAAACATCAGGCAAATAATTCACAACAGGACTTTGCAAACTGTAACATGTGTTGCAAATTCCGGTTGCTGTTGATCAGTCAACATGCATTCATTATTACTGTTATCATAAGTTACAGTAGGAGAAACTGCAAGAGAATAATCCAACTAATACTCATTTTTAGTAACATAAAGTTCTATTAAAATTATTCTAACTGTACTTCTTTTTTACCCTGGTTATAAAGAGTTATAATGAGGAGCAAAAATAAAGGAAATATAACTCCTAGGCACAGCCTAGAACTCTGATTCAGCTGCTACATGAGGAGGGCCTGCATGAAGAACAGTGTTTTCTTGATAATTACTTCATTTGCTTGAGAACCTAGAAGAAGCTGTGAGTGTGGAGTTGGGCCAGAGAGAAAAGAAGGCAGATAGAAGAAAATATTATGTATAGGAATGTTCTATTTTTGTTATAAATTTCAAAAGAACAGATGTTGATGTACAGGATTTACCTAGTTCTGCATGGTAGCTTATAGCCAAAATATTTTCTTTTTCCCTTTTGTGTATATATATATTTTAAAGAAATGTGCAGTTTTTATTATGCAAGTGATAATATATGTTAGTCATAGAAAAGACAATAAAAATCTATAATTCTATCACCTAGTGATAATGACATTAATCCTATATCCCAATTTATTTACTTTTGGTAAAATTGAAATGACAGTGAAAACCAGGCACCAGTGAAAGAGGACATGTTCAAAAAAATCCATGACCAAATAAGGAACAGATACTTATGTTAGTCTATAAGAAAAAAACATTTAAAGTCCTCAGAGAGGAACCAATCTTATCTGCCCCACTCCAACCCCCGCTTTTTCCCATAAAGAATGTAGATTCCCTCTATAATCCAAACTAGTAAATTCAATTAACTGAATCTTCTAAATGGTTGAGATACTAAAAGAGAAAGAAAAGGGCCACACACACAAAAGAAGCCCAGGTGTAGGAGGGAGCAACAACCAAGATGCTTTGCAAGTGCAGGAAGCAAAGGGGCAAGCCATGGGGGCTCTGCTTTATTTACTGCATGTTTACCCAGTGCCTTCAGGTACTCCATGCTCCCTAGCCCCTCTCCTCACTGTTGCCCTCTCCCCTGCCCCTTCTGCCAGAAAATGATGAAGGACAACAACCTGGTACGCCACCTGGACGCCTGTGAGACCATGGGCAATGCCACAGCCATCTGCTCAGACAAGACAGGCACGCTGACCACCAATCGCATGACAGTGGTACAAGCCTATGTCGGCGACGTCCACTATAAGGAGATCCCCGACCCCAGCTCCATCAACACCAAGACCATGGAACTGCTGGTCAATGCCATCGCCATCAACAGCGCCTACACCACCAAGATTCTGGTAAGTGAGTACCAGGCACATCCACCACCAGAGGGAGCAACATCCATGGGATGGTACAGAGGTACTGGGCAGGTTGAGCAATGTGATTCACAGTCTCAAATCCTACTAATGTGTTTTGGTATGGTCAGATAGTAAGCAACATTTTTCTCTTTGACTTAATGTACTATTAATATTGCTATGTTTGTGTGACAAACCTTTATTGTTAATTATGTTTTTTAAATCCTGTCATTGAACCCCCACTTCTCCTGCCGACATACACACAAACTTTCTATTAGTGTGCTTTCCAAAACTTAGTGGGTTGAAAGAAACCTGTGTATTTAGCTTAAAGTCCTGTGAGTCAGCAGTTCATGCTGGGCTCAGCTGGATGGTTCTTCCAGTCTCAGCCAGGATTTTTCCTGCGTCTGCAGGAGTTCAAGTGGACAGTTCCGCTGATCTTGGCAGGACTCTAGGCTCATCTAGCATGGCCTCAGCTGGGCTGGCTCATTCCTGCCCTGTGTGGTCTCACCTCCTCCAGCAGGCCAACCTGGGCTTGTTCACATGGTAACAACAAGCCTCTAGGAGACAGCAGAAGTGTGCAAGGTCTCTTGAGGCCTGGGCTCTGAACCGCCCCATTGTCACTTTTTGCAGCATTCTCTTGGCTAACGTAAGTCAGGAGTCCAGCCCAGATTCACAGAGTGGGATAATTTGCTTCACCTCTCGTTGAGAGGTGCTATAAACAACATGGATTCAAAAAGGAGAATAACTGACCATTTTCACAGTCTACCACTGATGATGATGTTGTTAGTAGTAATACAATTCATTTTGATAAGAAAAACTCTCAACTTACTGTCTCAGCTAAGCTGCCTCGACTCACCATGCTGTAAACCCTATCTGGTTTAGAAGCAGAGGTTGTTCCTTTGTAATTAACCATCACTGGATGAAGAGAAGCTCAAAGTTCATCCATCCAGATGTCCATCAGCTCCCAGATGTGGGTCATTTCTGCCTTGTGAGCATCTGGGTGATCAGATAAGCTTTTTAGTTTACCCTCCCAATGTGCTGAGTACTGACCTCCTCCTCCTTCTGCCCCTGAGCCAGCTGCAACATTCTAGATCAGGTTGGGTTTGTGGGAGCTGCTAGCAGCTTTATTGAAAGGAGGAAGAGAGCGTGAGTCAGCAGCAAAGAGCCAAGGGCTGGTAGGGGAAGGAGGAGGAGGCAGCGGCTCCTGCACCCTCTGCTGCAGCTGAGCAGCCACCTGCATCACCCTGGAGCAGCAGGCTAAGGGAGGCAGAACTGACAAAGGGGAAACTAGGTCAGAGGACACGTGCAGATGTTGACAGAGAACCCTGGGGGTGATCCCAGAAATGACAACGTTTTTATCTTCTTCCCCCACTCCCCCAATTTGGGAATCAAGGGAGATCAACAATGCTTTATCCTGCTCCCCAGGCCTTCCTAAAATAACTGGGATGCTGATAATGATCTCCTCATACAGACATGGCAGAGAGGGGAACAGGACAATTCCCAGAATGGGCTTCAGGCAATAGGGGCAGTCATGTGGGCACAGCCCTGTGGGGGGACTTGGATTGAAATTTGTGTAATGCAATTATAGGCAAAAAGAGTCCTTGGGATCTGCCAGGAAGGCTGAGGAAACCTCTCCACAGTGATGAGCCTCAATTAAGCAGTGCTTTTCAGCACTGGCGGCAAAGCTGAAATGTCATTTCTAGATGTTGGTGGATTGAGTCTGTCCAGGTGGCATAAAGGACAGGGGTCAGTCAGGCCATCTGAGGAGAAGGTGCAGCTGCTGAGGCTGGAGAGAGGTCAGGGATCTGGAAACTGGGGTCCTTGGTTTGTAATCCAAGGCAGGTCCCTTACCTCTCAGGCACCAGAGTCCCCTCTGTGCCTAGAACCCTGGCATCATAGGATACCTGTGCCTGTCTTCCTGGGTCTGTCTTGTACGTTCCCTGGCACATGTCCCCTGGCCACTTAATTCTCTTTGCTGGGAGCTGACAGCCATCTATGTGGGAAGGACAGCAGAGCCTCTGTGTAACTGGGTAGTGGTTAAAACATGGACTCTGGAGCCAGACTGCCTTCGTTCAAATCCCTCAACAGCTATATGAATATAAACAAATTATTCAACCTCTCTGTGTCTCAGTTTCCTAAGGGAAGGGGAGAATCTTTGATCATTGTGAGGATAAAGTGAGTAGTTAATGGAAAGTGCTTAGCACATAGCACTCGACATGACTAGTATTGTAGTTATTCAGCAATAAAAATCACCCACTGAAAGGGGATTCCAATTGTAGCAATACAGAGGCTAACAAATAAATAGACAGCAGAGATATCAGGTCTAGATAGGGAAAGGCTATTGCCCATAATCATTCAGCCAGTTATCGGCAAAGCTGACCCATGGGTACCCGAAAGCCAGCTGTTGAGTCAGATGTCCAGACTAGGTTCCTGCTCATAGAAACCAACCCTGCAGCACCTCTAGCCTACAGTCTGCTTGGGAGGAAAGGTCTGGGGTCCCCAGAGGGTGAGATTCACAGCCAGGGCCTGCTAGCTATATGGGGCAAAAGGCCTCCCAGGGGCTGCCCTTTCTAGGCTCAGGCAAAGACTAAGAGGCTGGAGCTGCTCAGCTCAGGGCAGGCATTCAGCCACCCTCCAAACCAGGATAGGAAATCTAGATCACAGGACATTCAGAAACTATACAAGAGGAGACAGGACAGGAAGGACATGCAACGTCCACCAGCTTCACTACCCATCAGCTTTAACTGGGAAACGAGCCTGGACTGGGAAAATAAGACCCTGGGCAGGGCTGGGCTTCTATAGGCTGTATTTCCCACTCCACAAGGATGCCAGTTCCTCTGTGTCTTCTTGCTATATGATGCAGGCTGTGGGCTTTTTGAGAGCAGGAGACAGCTGAGTCTTCTTTCATCTGCCTCAGATAAACTTTTGGGAAGTGCTGGGTGGATGGGTGGTGTAAGTGAATGGACTGGTGAATAAATGTGTAGATGATTAATCAATGAGATGAGAGGTAGGTAGGGAGAAGGGGAGATGGGTGAAAGTAGTGGGTAGGTAGATGGATGTGTGGATGGATGAGTGAGTGGATGGGTGGATTGATGTGTAGATGAATAGACGGATAGGTGGATGGATGAGTGAATGGATGAATACATGGGTGAGTGGGTGGATAAATGGATAAATGGTGGTTAGGTGGATGGATGAATAGATAGATGGATAGGTGGATGTGATGGTTGGTAAATGGATGGATGTGTTGGTTGGTGGATGGATGAGTGGATGTGTGGATGTGTTAGCTGAAAGGTGGGTGGACGGATGGAGGGATGGATGGATGGATGGATGATGGATGGATGGAGGGATGGATGGATAGATGGAGGGATGGAGGGATGGATGGATAGATGAGATGTGTTAATTGCTAAATGGAATGGAATGGTGGATGAATAGATGGATGAATGGATAAATGGATGGATGAATATGTGAGTGGGTAGATGAGTGACTATGAATTTATAGGAGTCTTAAGGCAGGACTATTGTCTCTATCTTCTACTTTATTTTTCTTGTGCCAGCAAGAGGCATAATTTGGCCTTGGATCTAGTCCCATGGCCAATACCAGTGCTCTCACTACCTCCGGCTTGCTGAGCTGGTCTCTTCCACAGCTACCCTCAGCCATCCAGGCAGCATTGATCCATAGACCTCCCAATTAGCTGATGTCTTTTACTGGAAAATAAAAATAAAAATAAAAAAGAATTTGCAAGGATAGATTGCAAGGTCTACAAGGATTCACAAACCTTGGAGACCAACTAGTTCAGCTCCCTCAGTTCACTCTGAGAAACAGGAAGGGATTTGTCCCAAGTCACTCCATTGGTTAGTGAAGTTAGAATCCAGGTGTTCCAATACCTAGCTCAGGAAGCAATGGTTTAAAGGTTTGACTCTAAAATCCAACAGACCAACGTTCATGTCCCAGCCCCAACACTCACCATCTGTGTGACCCTGAGCCAGTTACTTAACTTCTCTGAGCCTGTGTTTTTCAGCCTATAAAGTGAGCATATCATTATTGCTCACATTCACTTAGCTAGGCTCAATGCTGTGTGCTTACCCTATCTTGCTTTGTATGACAACCCACAGAATAGGTGACACCACACCCCATTGCATAGATAAGGACCCTGAAGTTGGAGCAGTTGAGGCATGCTGAGAGTACCTGAGCAGGTCTGAGACCAGGCCAGTATTGGAACCCAAATCTGTACAATTCCAAGCCCAGGCAGGTCCCCACCACTTCTCTGCCCTGAGGCTGTTTGTTCAAGGGCTGTCGTGAAGCTTAGGCAAGCTGAGGTGTGTGCAGTGCCCCGCACAGTGCCTGACACAGAGCAGGTGCTCAGTCCAAGGCAGTCATGACTCTGTTTCCCCCTGCTGCTCTTTCTGTGCGTTCCCCTCTGTAGTTTGCTATGCCAGCCACTGTCTTTCTTGACCCTCCACATGCCTTTCAGATGAGCTGGCCAAATAGGACCATTCCTATCTTGCAGCTATGAAAACCGCACTGCAGAAACAGAAAGGATCCTGCAGGATTGCTCCTGACCACCAAGTGGCAGAGCTGGGCCCAGAGAATTCTGGAGGAATTCACCAAGAAGGCAGGGGGCAAGAGTATTCCAGGCAGGGGGCACGACCCTGAAAAGGCCCAGAGACCTTAAGCTGCGTGGCTCAGTTAGGAAACATGGTGCTTCATGGCCTGGGCATTTCTGTAGGGCGAGAATGTTGAGAGGTGAGGCCAGGACTCGGAGGAGCCAGTGGTACCAAATTAGCCCCTAATGGGCTTTCTCCTCCCTGTGCTCAGTAGAACCACCCCAGGCACAGGTGGAGGGTGTTGCCAGGGCTGAGGCTGCAGGCTGAGAGGCTGCTCAGGGGCCCAGACCCACCCTGTGCCCCATCCTTTCTGAGAATGGCAGAGCCTTTTTCCTTTCCATTCTTATTTCTTATCATTAGAAACTAAAGTTGCCCTCAGAGGGAAGCTGCACGAATCAT